TCTTCTAAATAGAAACCTGATTCTTCTGACCAAGTTCAATAAATGATCCAGATGATCTACAGATATCTTGTATATAAGGCATCATTTCTTGTAAAGTTTTATCTTCATCCATGACATTGGGTGGGAGATCGACAGTAATTGATGTATATGACTTTAATGTAGAAATAAATTACAGAACATGATTAAATGTCACTCTTTACTACACGAGCAGCAAAATAAAATAATTTAAATACAGTTAATTTTGCAATAATCTCTTTGACTTTACGGATGTCTTTTTCAAGTCCTGAAATTTTATATGAAAATGTGTTAAGATCGATGCCAATTTTCACATTTGTCTGGGTTTCTAACCACTTCAAGGATTCACCCTCTGAATTGAATGCATTATTAATACCAATATAGTAGATAAGAGAAACAAATAGCTCCGTATAATTTAATCAAACAATTAAACACCTGGCCCGAGGATAAAAAAGATATCTATTGGCTTGGATTGCACAACTAGATCATACATACAATTAAATTAAGAAATAGCTTGTTTTGAACAAATGTAAAACTTTGTATACTGACTTTCATTTGAAAACGTTGATATTTTCCATATATTATTGATAATATGCTTAATCAATATGCTTTTTGTGCCTTTTACATGTTGCTCAACTACTGTGCCATTATGATTTTTAACATATTCCTGAAGTTGTTGTAATACGAAACCATTACGAATTCGTTTAAATAGTTTATCATATTCTCCAACATTTAATGTCGTACTACTTGGCTTATAAATTTCAATGTCTTTCCAGTTACCCGTAGATTCAGGTTGTTTCAAAGATAACCCTTTAGCTAAAGATTTGTTTTTCCAAAAATCTCCAAGTAATGTTTTTGACATTTTTGTTACCTCCTCCATACGTTTCGTTTCGTCCAATGTATAGTTGTTAGGCGAAACTATTTTATTTAATGACGAACGAAGCCTAAAACCGGTGAAAGAATGACGAAATGACGAAACCCTGGCGAAAGACGAGAACCCCAAACCCCTAATTAAAGGTGAAACGCCAAGAAGAATAGACGGTTGGGCTATAGTTGATAAACGAACCCATTTTTCCATGATGTCTAGAGTTAAGGCTAAAGTCTAATTAAAAAAAACGTTCCCCATATCGCGAAAATCGACCTCCAACCTCTAGATCTGATTTGATTGGCTGTTTTTGTAATAATTAGCTAATCGATAATAAAACCAAATTTGTTATTTTTTGGTTAATTAAAATTTAGAGGTTTTTTTTTTTGCACTTTATAAGTATTTTTTAACTATTTAGAATTTTAAAAGTATTTAAAATTTATAATATATAATATAAAATATATACACTTTTCTTCTAAAATATCTTTTTTAAAGTTTTCGGTTTAAAATTTTTACTATAATATTTTTTAAATTTTTACTTGGTAAAACCAAACTTCTAATAGTATACAGTACATTTGGAGATCAATAAGAAAAATTGCATTTATAAGGGTTAAAAATACAGTATACTTGGGCCGGAGCTTGAGATTATACAGTATTTAGAGAGGTGCTGTATTTAAAGAAGTTGTATTTAGAAAGGTCTAACTATATAAGCTTCAATTTTACAAGTAAATTATTAAAATACTTACTTTTATGTAAAAATCTAGTATACTATTTTATTAATTAAAATATAATATAATTTTTTTTGTTTAAAATATAAAAAGGTAAATAGAAACTAAACAAATTAGGTTTAAATGAAATTTAAACTAAATAATTTTAACAACTATTAAATCAAGATTAATAAAATTTTTTATTTTATAAATTAAAATAAATAGTTGTTAAGATATTTTAATTTAAAGTTTTAAAAAACTTATTAAAATAATTTGCTTGGTTTTTATTAACACTTTATATAGTAATAAATTAGTTAAAATAATTTAATAGTTTGTTTTTAAGACAATTTCTATTTGAACATTATGTGTATAAACATGAAAAAATTCAACTATATTTGTTGCAAATCAGGCTTTTTCTAATTAAGCGAATTAGTCTTACAATCACTTCCAAGAAATTAATAGTAATGCGAATTATTTTAATCGATAACCTTGATATTCATATGGAAAAACACAGGATTTGTAGGTAATATAAAAGCCAAACAGATTACATGATCAGGTGTAATGCAAACTTATTGCTTTCTTTAAAAAATCATTTGTAACTCAAAATTTTGCTTATAAAGTCACCTTTTGAAAATTAATAAAAAAAATCTCTTGTGAAATTTTGGTATAGCCTATCTCTCTGCCTTTATTTCAAATCCACCTTTTGACAAATCAATACCTGTGCACTATATACTATATGTAAAATTAGAAATTTTCTATTTTTAATATATTAATATATATAGTTATATATTTGTAATAATTGTATATATTTTTTATTATATATATATATTTTTTCCTTTGATAACCTCGCACTAATTTATTAGAAACTTTAGCAATTTACAAAATTTGCAAAACTAACTATCTAACTTTACGGATTAGGCAAATACCCGGCT